GCCGCCCAGCGCCTCGCGCGGGGGCAACGTGCTGTACCTGCGCGCCACGCGGCACTCATTGCAAATATTGAGCAACAAACAATATCAAAGGAAGGGAACAAAGTACAAAAAACCTTATTATTAGTCCCTTGTCTGATCGGTGATATGAACAGGGACAATAATGCAAGACAATAAAGCCTCCCATATCCCATAATTCCTTATTATAAATTTTAAAGTCGAAATTCCCAGAACGAAAGTGAGCAAACCAATAACAGGTGGTGCGTTAGTTTGTAGCTCTGTAAACGTTGTTGATGTTGCGCGTCGCTTGTGCCGTGTTGCTCATATTCCATTATTACTCGAATTTTTTAAGTATCCATGTAGACAAAAAAGATTGAAACGCGATGAAATGTAACACTAATCAATAAATAAAATTGTATTCAAATTAAAATTCAAATTAAAGTACTGCAAAACAGCAATTTCATAGGTAAATTCCTAGTATTACTCCAAACCATAATCTAACTCTATTCCAAACCGGTCCCTGCAAATATTTTGATTTGACTGAGTTACAAACCTACACACAAAACATAGTATCTAGATCAAATCGCACAATTAAGTTTGTTTTTTTTCATATATACTTTTTCAGGGTAAAAAGTATCCAGTGTGATGCCCACCAGCATATTAAAGTATAATCCTACCAAGTAATCGGACTGGCAGTTTTGGTGTGATGCGTGAACTTGCAGACAGCCAAAAATATTTTTTTTAAAACCAAGGCAAACCCAAAAAATAGTAGAGGTAGTATTTTTTTTTAATACTTTCAATATACAGAATTTACAATTCTACAGTTTTATTATTATTCATAACATAATCATAATAGCTAGTCATTGTGGTTAATTCTGCATTATTTATCACTATGATCAAATTCAGTAGATATTATTCATATTGACCAGTCATTATGAATATGCCAAAGTCTGAAATAAATGATTCTGTACTAACTGTGGTCTTCCAGGGTAGTACAGAGTAGAGACTCGCAGGTTACCAACATCTAATTTGCAGTCAACATAGTAATCACAATCGAGTAGTTGAAGGCTCTGGCAAGTGGCAGGGGGCGCAGTGTGTGACCCACCTTCATGCTCCTCATCATTGTCACTTGCAAGCAGTTGCGCCTCTAAAGCCAGTGATTCACCACAACGCTCTGCAACACAGAGTAACCAAACAATATACTATATGCATTGACATTGTAATTTACGTGACATTAAACTGTCAAACACCAAGCTGTCACCGGTGACCGCAACCTATTGTTCTATAATTGTGTCTATAATGACGGTACTCGACGAGTTAATCAATTTATTATCTACCATCAATATACAATGCATATATGAATATTAAATATACTGGGTTCAGTACTTGGGGGTGTTGAACTCCAACATGTGTGTATACTAGTGTTGTTGAATAAAACCACTGTATATTGGTCTAGATTAATTTATATTTATCTAGTGATCCATAGGTAAAGCTAATTATAGATGTGCTAATGAAGTTTTGCATGTACAGTCAGCCATATAAATTATATAGGTAAGAAAGTAAAAATTAGTTCTGTCTAGAGACAGTAGCTAGTAGTTACAAGGAAGTCAGTACTTCAGTAGCTAACCAAGGGTTTCTGTCTCTGTACTAAAGCAATCTTTATTTTCTGACCTGCATACCAAATACCTAGGTTGTTTATTTATATACATTGTCGAACCCTTACTATTTTATTGATTTAACGAAACTAGATATATCCAATAGGTCATGCTATAAGAAAGGAACAGAATAAGTATAGGAATTAGGAATGTTTCTCACAGCCCATTGCCATCTAACTCAAAGAGAACGTTTCGATATTACTTATATTTTTGGGTACAGATTTACCTTCGTATTCGTCTATTTTTTCGGAACACGTATCATTACTGACATTAGCATAGGCTGGAAACAAAGACATTTTCAATTCTGTTGATGGTCTCACTGCTGGTTGTACTCAAACGATAGTTTTACTGATTGTTTTTGTTGCGAAAATAGGTAACTAAATAACTGCCACAAACTGTGTTGCTGCTATTTATCCATTTTCCTTTGATTTTTACTCAACCCTTGACTCGTGTAAGTACGAAATACAAAATATGATAATCAAAAAACATATTCTTCGATTAATTCACAGCCACTACACTAGATTCACAGTCTTATTTTATTATGCAGATAAACAGTGTATGTAGGGAAAGGAACATAGCTATTTATTTTTACATTGAACTAGGACTGTACATATGAGACTCAAAGTAGTCATAGTCAATCAAGTAGCTGTCAGTGTCAGTGTTGGACACTGACAGCCGACTATGTTGCGTGGCTAGAGTTGGGCTTGAGTCATTGAGTGAGACCTGTAATAATGAAGGACGACGACTAGGTACACAATGTAGATTATTTAATTGTATGAATGAGGAATTGAGTGATCACATGAGTGAGACGTGAGACGTGTCTCAACACATTTAATTTGAATAAACATAACATCACGCCTTTTATCCCGGAAGGGGTAGGCAGAGGTGCACATTATACCACTGTATGTACAATGTATCACCCACTTTTTTGTTATGAGACCCATGTAATAGGGGGTGCCATACATCGGGCACAATTCCAGACTCCGTGCTACTACTGAGATTTTTTTTTTTAAATACCCAATAATACTTTGCCCAACCCAGCATATTATTATGTTGATACAATTCTAACAAATAAATGTTAATAATTTCGACCAAATTAGTTACCATAAAAGCGGTGAGTTAATCTTAAAAGATAGAAATAAACTGTCGCAGACTTTTTTGTAGATAATTTTAAGACGAAAAATTCTTTCATACATTTATTTTGTGTATCATGGAACTGTATGCGCAGCGCACGCAACGGAAGCCGTCAAAGATGTATAATTTTCCCTGTTTTTACACATTTATTACGGTTTCTTCGCTCCTATTGGTCGCAGCGTGATGTTATATAGCCTATAACCTTCCTCGATAAATGGACTATCCAACACAAAAATAATTATTCAATTCGAATCAGTAGTTTCGGATATTAGCACGTTCAAACAAACAAACAAAAAACAAACTCTTCAGCTTTATAATATTAGTCTAGATTATTAGAATAGTAGTAATAATGAATATTTTTTCAGTATTTATAAATATTGACTATTTATCCCAAAACACGCTTATTTCTATGTAGGTACCTAATAAAGTCCTTCATTTCTATTGCCGACCTTAGTGCGGCCCCGTTTAAGCTACAAATTGCGCATGTGTGTTTTTGTTTCACAAAGTGCTTATCTATTTTACGTCTGTAGCCAACCTGTGTTTGGTCTGGAACTCTTGGTCTGTAAACGTCAATGCAAACCACAGACATACAAGGAGACACAGACCAAACATTAGTTATTTATAAAGCCATTAAACACACATGCGCAAAACTTTGTAGAAACTATTACTCAATATGAAAACAATATAATTATTAGTTTAACCTTTTCAAACACTAAATCCGTCCTCTGTTGATTCTACAAATACTTGAACTGTCATTCGAATGAAAAGTTAAGTTGATTTTATTTGTTCGAAGTAAACTTATGGGCAAATAGTTGATAAGACTCCGTTATAAACGTTAAGACATTATCAAAACAGTTGATTTATTTCAAAAAATCAACAATTTGTTTTAGTCTACAACAACGTAAATAAAAACCTTCTGATCTGATAAAAGATTATTCCAAGTATTTTCTTAAAGCTATTGTCACATTGGTACACACTGCACTTCGCCATTTTATTCCAGACTATTTATACGTTTAATGGTAGAAATAATTAATATTTCCTTTTATAACGAGATTGACACAGTTATAGGAAAACATAGCAATATGGTGGCACGCGAGAAACTAGCTAGGTACATGTCAATATTTGCCTATGTGTGGCTACTACAGGTAAAAGAACGAGACGCCATTATTAGGTTGGTGCTTGACAGAACAAGGACGAAGAATGATGGATATCATTATCTTATCATATGCGTAACTAACTTGGCATTAATGTTGGTCTGCTTATTGTATGTACATATACATTACATTACATTTATGAGGTTCGCCCAGCCAGTCAGTCGCACCCAAATAACTCGTATTTAGATATATCTTAATGATAAAAAAGTATTTAGTATTACATATATCTGTGTGCACGAAATTATGTTATTTTTTCTTGTTTGTTATATTGTTCGTTGTTACTTCGTTAATAATCGTTAGTAGTATTTTGGGGACTACAGTGAACAGTGGCCGTGTTAAGAAAAATGATGAGAGTTAATTTAAATAAAATAATTTCACTGGCTCGAATAAGCAATCTTGAATTATCGTTTCTAGCACCGAGAGCACGATTATTAGATGGTTTACATAGATCTTTTGCAAATGTAAGTGTACCTACATGCCCTTTTATTACAGTTAGAAGTGATCTTCACAAGCTACTTATTAACTAATGTCATCCAATATTGTAAGGAGCCTGGCAGCACAGAAGTGGCGCCGGCGCCGGCGCAGCTCGTTGAGCCACCTCTCGTGGACTCTTTTGGTCGTCGTCACAATTATCTGCGTATTTCGTTAACCGAGCGCTGTAATTTAAGATGTAAGTTCCTTTATCTTATTTACCTTTTGAAACTAATCGAAAAACAAATTTTGCATTAACCTACCCCCTAAGTTAAGCTGTAAGGAACAGAATTGTTTGATTTCTATAAAGACTTAACTCCGCTCCAAAAACATAGATAATTAAATGTTTCAATTTATAAAATTATAATAGTTTACCTACACAAATTATATTTACCTACTACTTACATAATTATATATTATATACTTACAAATTTCAGTTACTTACCTACACAATTTAACACAATTAAAATTACAGTACTTACATAAAGATTATTTAGGTTTTTTTTTTAATTTTATATGAAACTAATCATACTAAAAACTAAATAATCTATCAAAAAAATAAACCCAGAATAGAAAACATAAATATATGAGTACCTATAAATCATTTAAAAATATTGATACTGTTAAATCTTAAGTTTGTGGTATATTTGAGTGAATAAGTTGAATGATTAATATAATTTAATCGACCCGCTAAAGTTGTAATATGAGGACCCCATTGCAATATGTCATGTACGATAATTCCCAGGAATGTAGTTTCCTCTACAAATTCTAATTTCCGACAGCTATTATACCGAATGTGACATATTATAATAATATGTCACATTCGGGTAATAGTAATACGGGTTCACCAAGGTGAATTCATGTTGAAGTGACGCAACATCTGAGTAAGCATCAATCTTTCAAACACTTTACTGATACTGGCAAGATAGAGACCGGCCTATAGTTATTAGGTTCCGCACTATCACCGGATTTAAACAATGGAACTATTTTACTAGTTTTCATTAAATCTGGGAAAAACTCTTGATCTACTCTTTTATTAAAAATGAAAGGCAAATGAGGCGCTATAGTCTCTATAAAAGACCTACACATCCTTACTGACATTCCCCAAAGATCTTCAGTCGACTTAACTTCAATATCTTTAAACGCTTTTATCACTGTTAGGGGATTTGTAAATGGAAATCGAAAATTTGTTGAGCATTCCGCGACATTTCTTTTAAGAAGATCGATAGATAGTGTTGGTGACAATTTCAACGCTTCCGTAGTTTTAAGCGGAATATTTTTAAAGAAATTTTCAAATTCCTGGGCAGCTTTAGAATCTGCACTAATACATCCATTTTCAGTATTTAAATGAAATTCAGTGTTAGGAGATCTTTTTCTATCTGTCTCGGTGTTAATTATGTTCCAGGTAGTTTTTATTTTGTTATCCGCGGTCCTAATTTTACTGCTAATGTACAGAGATTTAGCATGCTTACAAACCATTTTAAATATTTTCGAGTATCTAGATACATGACTGCGAAAATCCTCACTATTATTAAATTGTTTCATACCATATAACTCAAATAAATGACAATGCCAAATCCTGAACCAGTCATACTATCATTTACAAAAAAAATAAATTGATGAAAATAATTTTGACGAATAAGGAACCTTTTCACAATAAATCTTTTTATTTATAAACTTGCGGTTTGCAATCTAATAAAAAAAGAAGTTAAATCCCGGAAATACTTCTTTGCTATGCGTCTTCCATATTGTCTAATGACTATTTACGTTACATCATACGCATCGCTTGTACGAAACTATGAAAATAAAAAGCAAGTAACTGTAAAAAAGATATTATTATACATAAAATATTATATGAAAAGTATAATTATGTATAACATTTATTTATTTATTAATGATTACAGATGAAATCACGAAAATATAAAAGAAACGATTACTATAATTAGTTATGATTTTTTTTGTGTAACGAAACGTTTTGAAGCGCTTGTCAGTTGTCAGCTGTCAGTGTCAATATTATCTTTTATTCGCTCTCTGCGTTTCCGTTGTTTTCACGATAGTTATCATTATTGTTTTGTGTTTTAAACAAAAACCGCAAGTTTTACAGGTTTCAGGACAAATGTTTAAGTATCGGTAATTAATACACTACACGATGCTGAATAGTGCATACTTGTACATGACTTCTAATATAGTGGGTCAAAGATGTACTGAGCACCTGGCATTGTCCTTTTCCCTACTTATACGAATACCTGGTGGCCGCATAATTAATTTTTTAAGTTTTGGTTTAATGAGTAATTTTTTTTGTTTGTAATTTGCCTAAATAGAATTTTCCTTTTTTGTACAGTTGTGGTAGTGTTAAAACTGACTGTCAGGCCACTGTGATCAGATGGTAATCTGTTTACAATGTCTTTATTTATATAATTACAGTTACAAAAAATATTATCTATACATGTTGCCGAGGTGGATGTTACTCGGGTGGGCTCAAGTAAAGCATTAGAGAAGTCGAAAGATTTAAATAGACTTAACAAATTAATACTATTCGAGTTGTTTTCCAAGAGATCAACATTAAAATCGCCACATACTATGGTTAACTTACTATTGGAACACGTTTTCCGCATTACATCTTCCAACACTGATCTAAAAATTTTTATGTTTTGTAAAATAGGGGGTCTAAAAACACATACTACAATATGCCTACATAATGTAATCTTCCTTCTTGGATATTTTGAGGTGTCCCAAATGGCCCCAACTTTTTTTTTAGTCTCCTTATTTCCCTGCAATCTGCCCAGTTCGGCAAGCATTTTTAATTGGAAGCGTGTATGTGTCCAAGTTTGAGTTGGCTGCAGTTCCCCAGAGTTCTGATCCATATGACCATATTAGTTTTAATATAGCTTCATAGAGGGCGCTCTCAAGGGTGCGTGCTATCGCCTACATTGTTCCTCCTTTATATCAATGTCATGCTGCAAAACAGCGGCATTCATTGTTATGTGGATGACAGCACAGGCGATGCCTACTACAGCGGCCGAGCTAACATTTCTCAGTAAAACGTCATGGAGAGCCGAAACAGACTCGTGTCACCCCAGTCCCAGCGACTGTTGTGTGCTGCAATAAGAGCAATATCATCAGCGAAAGTCCCTACTAGGACGTCGGTCGTCGGAAGTTGGTAGGTCATCATCATCATCATCATATCATATCAGCCACTGGACGTCCACTGCTGAACATACGCCTCCCCTATCAACTTCCAGATAGGCCGGTTGGAAGTGACCTGCATCCAGCGGCTCTCTGCGACCTTAATCAGGTCTTCTGTCCACCTTGCGGATGGACGCCCTACGCTGCGCTTGCCGGTACGTGGCCTGCATTCGAGAACCTTTCTGCCCCAGCGGCCATCGGTTCTCCGCGGTATGTGCTCTACCCACAGCCACTTCAACTTGCTAATTCGCTGGGCTATGTCGGCGACCTTTGTTCGTTTGCGGATTTTCTCGTTTTTATCCGATCTCGCAAAGAAACTCCGAGGATAGCCCTTTCCGTAGCGCGCTGAGCGACCTTGAGCTTCTTTATAAGGCCCACAGTGAGAGACCACGTTTTTGTTCCATAGATTGGTAACACACATTGATTATAGATTTTCATCTTGAGGCACTGAGGTATGTTCGACGAGATGTTGCGTAGTTTCCCGAACACTGCCCGAACGTTGGATTTGACGATTTACCTCCTTCTCGAAATTGGACCTACCTAGCTGGATCGCTTATCCCAGGTATACATTACACATTCGTCAATAATTTCCAGGGTAGAGCTCCCAACTGATATCAGGTAGGGCGTAACATGGGCGTCCGACATGACTTTCGTGTGTGTAATTTTGCTTTCGCAAGCTCTGGTGATAGTCGTTTTAAGATAAGAATTTCCATTATTTTTGAGGCAGCAGGCAGGAGACTCGTCGGTCGATATAAAATGTCGGCATATATACATTTTGACAATTATTTCGGCTACTTTCCATTAAGCAGGGACGTATTCATATCTTAAGATTGAGTTATAAATAGCAGTTAATAGGGTTATTGCTTTGTGAGGGAGGTGCTTCATCACTTTAGATGTAACAAGGTCATAACCAGGAGCTTTATTCAGGTTGAGTTTTATGATTATATTCTTTTTTAGTGAATTTTTAATTGGGGATGCAAGTTGGTGCGTCTCCAGTACTTCATTCACTTTTGTTGATCCCGAACTTGGATTTGAAGTAAACACTCTTGACAAGTGTTCTGCGAACAATGTGGATTTGTCTGTGTCGCTTTTAGCCCGAGAGCCGGATGGCTCTCGGGCTAAAAGTCACTCGGGCAACGGGATCGTTGTAAAGGTGATTGGAACTCAATTGGTCCTTTCAGAGATTGTGTCACTTTCCAAGGCGAGTAATCAGTAGCAAATGTTGCATCCATTTTAGACAGACGATCTTCCAAGTTTTTGTTTGTCAAGAGGATATTTTTCACTTGCTTGGTTAGATGGTTAAGTTTTTCCTTTACACTAGAGTGTCGAGTTTGTTGCCACAGTTTCCTTGCGCCTCGCTTTCTTTTTATTATATCCGTAACGTACGAATAGTATCGGATACAAGGGAATAGTATCCATAGCTCCTCTGAGCGGAGTGACATCCCAAGCAGCCGATTAGACGCATTGGTTAATATCTCTACTGCTGCTGTAATGTCCTCATCTGATTTGGGAGGAACGCGTTCGTCAAGTGTATTTTCTACAATTTCTCTAAAAAGTTCCCAATTGGTGTTCTTTGAGTGCAGTTTGCAGAGTCTGACAACTTCCACGAGGTTATTTTGGAACTTCGCTATATGTGGTCCGAGGATAGGTCATACTACTCTGTCAAGAAAGTACCGGGAAAAGATCAATAATACACAAATTTGTCTGTTATTTATCCAAATTTATTGTATCACCTTCAAAGTATGCTCCTTTACAAACGATGCACTTGCGCCAACGAATAATCCATTCATCAAAACATTTTTTTAAAAACGCTGCTTCCGGAATTAAGTTCAATTCTCGCCACGAATTCTCCTTTATGTCTTCTATCGATTGAAAACGGGTGCCACGAAGTGGTAATTTAAGTTTAGGAAAAAGAAAAAAGTCAGCAGGAGCCTATGGCTATGGCAGATATGTCTGGTGAATATAGTGGTTGCTGGATGATATTTATTGAGTTTTTTGGTCAAAAATTCGTTC